CTGGTCCTACTGGAGGTCTTGCTGAGCGTCGTGAGCCTGCGTCTCGCCCTGCGTCGCCTGTCCGTGCTGCTCGCACTAGTGGTCGTGGTTCGCGTCAGCGTCCTCCCCCTGTCCCCGGCACGCACCGGATGTCTCTGCGTCCTTCCACTGCTCCGCTGCGTGCCCCTTTGCCTTCTCCTCCCGCGTCCTCATTTCCTGACCTTCCTGACCCTGAGTCGGACTCCCTTCGTGCTGCGCGTCCTACTGTCACGCGTCTCCTTGCTACTGTTGTCACTGACCCTTCCTTTGAGTCTACTGCTGCGTCTGCCCTGGTTGCTGAGCTTGTCGACTTCGCTGCTCGCTGTCGCCTAGACTACGCTGCCAGTCTCGTCGCTGAGTCTGAGTCTGTCTATCCTCCGTCCGTCGGGGGTGAGTGTGCTCTTGGCACGGACGTCCTTGAGGACAGGCAGGAGGAGTTCCAGTGCTTGGCTGCTGCTTCACCTCATCTCGTGTCCATGCTGCTTGCCCCTGAGGGAGACCCGGATGCACTTGACATCCCGACTCCGCGCTCTTACGCGGAGGCGATAGAGGGTCCCTACTCCTCTCAGTGGCAGGCAGCCATGGATGCAGAGATGGCTTCCTGGAAGTCCACAGGCACCTACGTTGACGAGGTTCCCCCGCCTGGGGCGAACATCGTCAGTGGCATGTGGATTTTCAGGGTGAAGCGGCCGCCGAGTTCTCCGCCTGTCTTCAAGGCGCGTTACGTGGCTCGTGGCTTCAGTCAGCGGCAGGGAGTTGACTACTTTCAGACCTTCTCTTCCATCTCAAAGATGACCACTCTTCGGGTACTGCTGCACATAGCCGCTCACCGAGACTACGAGCTGCACTCTCTTGACTTCAGCACTGCTTTCTTGCAGGGCAGCCTGCACGAGGAGATCTGGCTGCGCCGCCCACCTGGCTTCACTGGGACTTTTCCTCCTGGCACCCAGTGGAGCCTCCGGCGGCCGGTCTACGGTCTCCGCCAGGCACCTCGTGAGTGGCACGACACACTGAGGACTATGCTTGCGGCTCTTGGGTTTGCTCCTTCTACTGCCGACCCGTCGCTGTTTCTGCGCACCGACTCTTCTACATCCTCGTGTACGTCGACGACTTGGTCTTTGCTACAGCTGACACTGCTGGACTTGCCTACGTGAAGTCCGAGCTGCAGAAGAGACACACGTGCATAGACCTGGGTGAACTGCGCAGCTACCTTGGCTTGCAGATCACCCGGGACAGAGCACAGCGCACCATTACCCTGACTCAGTCACACATGGTGCAGCAGGTCCTTCAGCGCTTCGGCTTCACGTACTCCTCGCCTCAGGCCACTCCTCTGGCTACACGCCACTCGCTCTCAGCTCTGCCTTCGGATGAGTCCGTAGAGTCGAGTGGCCCATACCCAGAGCTTGTTGGCTGCCTCATGTACCTGATGACCTGCACTCGACCTGACCTTGCATACCCTCTTAGCATTCTGGCACGCTATGTTGCTCCTGGGAGACACAGACCAGAGCACATGGCTGCAGCGAAGAGGGTGTTGCGCTACTTGTGCAGTATGTCGGGCATGGGGCTTGTGCTTGGAGGGCAGAGTCCAGTGGTCCTCACTGGTCACGCAGACGCTTCTTGGGCTGACGACCAGGCTACGCAGCGGTCGTCACAGGGTTACACCTTTAGCCTTGGTTCCGGCTCTGTTTCGTGGCGGTCTACCCGCTCGTCTTCTGTTCTCGGCTCCAGTTGTGAGGCTGAGATCTACGCAGGGGCCATGGCTGCACAGGAGCTACGCTGGCTCACCTACCTGCTGACTGACCTGGGAGAGCCGCCTCGTTCTCCTCCAGTGCTGTACGTAGACAACAAGGCCATGCTAGCCTTGTGTCGAGAGCACAGACTGGAGCACAGAACGAAGCACATCGCTCTTCGCTACTTCCTTGCTCGTGAGCTGCAGCAGCGTGGTCAGCTGCGCCTTGCTTACGTGGCCTTTGAGGCCAACACTGCTGATATCTTCACTAAGGCACTCGCGCCTTGTGATCATCAGCGCTTCTGTACTCTGTTAGGTCTTGTGCCTACCTTGCCTCACTTGCTTACTTCTTGACCTTGCTTGTACTGTTACATATATATACCTGCTCTTGCTTGTTTAGCGTTATATATATGTAATCTTGCATGTGAACTGGCCTTGTGGCCTTGAACTTGTGCTCAGACTGTGTGGTGACGTTGTGATCCACCCTGAGCTTGCTTTGCCTTGCTTTGCTTGACTGGTCTTGTGACCCCTTGTTCTCCCCCACTTTGCCTATGGGGGTGTGTCAAACTCATACACTATAGTCTGTGTAGGCTGTAGTGGGGTAGCTTATATGGGGTACAACATTTTAGGGTTTGGTACTTGTACTCCTCATGCTGCTCAATGCATTCATTCCTCGTTGTTATCTTCACAGAAAGCTCCGACAGGCGGCGCGGGAAACATCTCATCGTGTACATCACGTTTCTCAAGATGCGACACTGTAGGAGGATGGGGTTGAATCGCTGGGCTGGAGTGAGGCAGCAGGGTGAAGATCAGGCTTGGTGTAACACTGCATATGCAACAGGTGTTAAAAGTTGTTTCAACAGAATAGGATGCAGGGCAGTGAGGCAGGGAGAAGGGCTCTCGTTATCAGGGTAAAATACCCTTTTTGCACTGACTGGCGGCCGCTTTTTTTTCAGTTGCCCTTTCACAGGCAGGGTAGTGGATTTTTTACCCTAGGCCAGAAAGTGTAAGTTTTTTTGTACCCTTTGAAAAACAGCGTAAGGAAACAACTTGTTTCCCTGACTGTACCAGGTTACTATCCCAGATATACTGTTGCCGAATACTCCGTAGCGAGACGTAACACTATACGATCCCTGCAAAATGCTCCCAACAGCATGACCCGACCTTGCGACCTTTCATATACAATTCGAAATCTAACCAATTGAGGCACTTCGTGTTGTCCTTGACAATTTTGGTTTCTATAAAAACGTTAAAAAATAACCCTTACTAAACAAAATTTTACCCTACGCATCAGGGAAACAAAATTTACCCTACGCATCAGGGTTGACTATACCTAGAACCCTGATTACTAAGGGTGGCCCAAAACGAATCTGAAGCCCTGGCAGGGAGGTGGGAGGGTGAGGAGGGAAAATCGCTTGAGGAAGCATACAAAGAATACAAAGATATAGGGATTGGGTTGTTGAAACTATGCACTGAGCACTTGTAGATACTGGTTTATTGTTGAGAAATGACACAATGATTGAGTTTTAACTGGTGCCCTTGAGAGTGATTGGCAATGATGAATCCCATGCGATCAACAGGTGAACCACGGATGAAACATGGGTGAACCAGATTGCAGGAGAAGTGAAAACAGGAAGTGAGGATGGAAATCTAATTCTTTGTGACACACCCTTCCTCCCAATTGCCTGAACAAGTGGAAAAATGAACTGTCAAATTCCTCACCTAGTTTAAACACATATTTTAAGAGCATTTCGACATTTCAGAAACGTTGCAAGAAGCAGCATGTGCAGGCACCAGGTTTGAAAACAGTAAGCCACCTTGGGATGGAAGATCGTACCTTCATCTTCTCCCACCAATCGTGCATGCGAACATCAATGTTGGTCGCCCACGAGCTTCCAGGCTGATGCCTCACCATGGAATGCAAATCATTTAGCTTCCACGTCAGGCGATCGCCTGCAATCACCCGTGTCTTAACGTGCCACACGCCCATCAGAATGAAGCGATGAGATGGTGGTGCGCTTGGTGGTGGTACGTCCGATGGTGATACGGCAGGTTGTGACATGGCAGGTGGTGACATGGCAGGTTGTGACGTGGCAGGTGGTGACATGGCAGGTGGTGACATGGCAGGTTGTGACGTGGCAGGTTGTGACATGGCAGGTTGTGATACGGCAGGTGGTGACATGGCAGGTGGTGACATGGCAGGTGGTGACATGGCATGTGGTGACGTGGCAGGTTGTGCAGCTGGTGGCACAACTGGTTGTGTCCAGGTCGAGGAAGAGGGGGAAGGAAGCATGGCCAAATCCAGGTCGAGGTGGGGGGTGCGAGGCCAGCGCAGCAGACACCCTGGGGCGCTGTCAATCACTGCGGCTGAAGCTATGCGCTCAAACACAGTCCGAGTGGCGTCCTAATGGGGAGGGGGAGGGGGTTGGGTTGGGGGGAAGAAAGGTGAAAACGTCTATCACAGTTCAATCAAAACTGCGATATGGGTACGATAGGACCATGTCTTCCCATGTGCACGTCTATTTTTTGGTACGAGAAGGAGCAGCAGATATCAGAGAAGGAATAGAAGTGGAGCAAAAAAGGGGAAAAGCATAAAGATGCACAGAAACTAAAAAAGTAGCAAACATAGGAGCACAAGCATAGGAGCAGTAAGAATAGGAGCAGAACAAATAGGGGCAGCAAAAATAAGAGCGACAAAAGAAGGATCAGTAGAAATAGGTGCAGCAACATTCGGATCAGTATGAACAGGAGCTACAAGTATATGGTCACAAAAAATAAGAGCTACAGGTTTAGCACACCTTCACCACTTCATCCCTTTGCAACTTCACTCACACCTTCCACCCTTCACCCATTCAATGCTTCACCCTCCACCCCTCACCTTCTACCCTTCTTTTGATACAAGGTTCACTACACGAGGTTTTAAGTTGTCAAACAATCAGCCTTTCACCCCTAAGTGGCGATATACGCGTATAGCGTATATACGCGTGTCGTATATACACATGCGTTTATACGCTATACGCTAAGGTCCCGAAACCCTCGATACGCTATTTCGGGCAGGTTAAAAAAAGTTCGGGCAGGTAAAATTAGACCCCCCTTATATACTTCTGGGGTCAGTTTCCACAGGGGTTGGATTTCCTGCTTTTTTTTTTCCCGACTCAAAAATTTTCACCAACAACATTACAATGACAACTACTCATCTCATACAACTACTACACATACTACTACTCATGCTACTCCAGAACTTTTATGCCACTTACTCATACTCATCCTCCAAAATGTCTTCCCCTTCCTCCTCCTCCTCATCCCCCTCCACCACATTGTAGCCCTCGGGAACAGGAGGCTCCAGCATGTTCCCGAGCACCACACCCGGCATGACATCTTCACAAGAATGCCAGTTGTGCGCAACAAAAACCAAATTTCGGCACTTGGCAGAGCCAAGCTTGTTCCGGCGGGCTGTGTGCACCCCATCCCACGTTGACCATCCCTTCTCACATGGTGAAGCCGACACGGGCTGAGAGAGAGTCCTGATGGCGAGGGCCGCCAGCTTTGGTGCGTCAGTGCCGTGCCACTGCTACCACTTTACCATGTCATACTTGCCCTCCTTGACCAAGTTCCTCTGAGCAATTGCATCCCCCATCCCGAAGCTTCCTTTCATATCCGAAAATGCCCTCACCTCGTCCTGCAGTTCCATCAAAACCTCGCCGCTGTCATTCCCATCATCCCCCTCCTTCCCGTGATTGCTGAGGTGCTCGGAGTGCTGAGTGATGAACGTTTTGAATACCTTTGAGCACTCCGCGTCTGAGCCGAAGTGTCTTCATCCTGATTCCCCCGGGTTGAGTATCCGGCCCACAACGTGCATGGGGCAGGCCAGGGTGCCGTTCCACCTGTTCTTCAGCAGGCGGCGGATTTGCACTTTGTCGGAGTAGCTCAGCTGCTCCTCATCCTCCTCCACCACTGCCACCACATCCTCGGTCAACTTCAGCATCACGTCATACATACGGCCCATCATCCCCTTGGCATCCACATAGGTCTTACGCATTGCCATGAACGGGAGCTTCATCAGCTTGCAGAAAAACTCCGCCGTCCGCCACCACGCGGCATCAAGAACTTGCGCTGCAAACTTCTCCGCAGCCTTCTTTCTCTCCCCAATTTCCCAGCCCTTCCACACATCAGACACCAGCATCTGTGCAAGCGACTGCCGTAGCTCACAGAGACGAGACACAGTAATGTACTGTGTCCCGAATCTTGTTCCAGCGGTTTCAGCGCCTGCAGCATCTTTGCACCCACCATTTCCGGGGTCCTCAAGTATCCCCTCGTCCAGTGGTGGTTGCGGACGAAGGAGCTTATCTCGCCCGCGGGGTCCACCACCTTCTTGGCCCAAGACATCTTACCGACGTCTTCCATGAAAAGTCCAAGACGTGGGTGGCGCATGGCATGTGTTGAATGTGCGGCCCCGCGTTCTCCGAACCGACCTCCTCCACCATGGGCCTGAGGATGCTGGCGACATAACCGCCGGTTTTGGTCTCCATCCGGCCGTCCACGCTCTCCTTGAACACCGCGCCACTGTCGTTGACGAGAAAGACGTTCGCCTGTGGGCGACCGTTCTTATCGGTCATCATATCAGACGAAACTGTCACGCTGGTCCGCTTCCACCTCGCCTTCACTCTAACCAGCCCCCTGTCGATGTTCTCGCAGCACAGTCGCAGGCCCGCCTCGCCGATGAACCCCCTCCTAGGGAGGACGTAGCCTGTGCCGGCGTCCCTAATGGCACAGACGGCGTTGATGAAGAGAGGGTGCTCCGCGACGCGCTCTGGGATGCGACACCCCGCGAGCATGAGCGCCAACACCTCATGTGCATCGCACTTCCCAGCTGCCTCATTCGTCTCTAAGTAGTCAGTTATGCGGCTCCTCTTTCCACCGCTGGTGACAGACGCAATGGCATCCGATGTCGCCTGGCGGCGCTGATCCGCCGCTGCAGCCTTAGCCTTGTACTTCTTCCGCATAGCAGCTCAAACTTCAAAGGGGGCTTCCTTGCATAGCGCCACTTCGCGGCGCTTCATCTTCCTCCAACTCGCCAAATGCTGCGCGCAACGGATGGCGGCACCAGAAACAACATTGCAGCGGTACTTGCACTCGTACTGCGACGACCCTTCGTCCACCTTTATGAGGCAGAAATATTTGAACACCTCGTGGTCGTCATCTCGAAGGTAAACTCGCGCCGCAGGAGGGGGAGTGGACTGGTTCGGGTTAACAACTGCAGAAACCATTTTACAGAGCTCTCTGAAAGTAAACGGGAGGATGAATTGACGAGATAGAAGAATACCTGCTTGTTAAGCAGCGTGGGATGAATTGGTGGGGAGAAGTTGGATTGGAGGGAGTTTGTAGATCGAGAGCGGTACAAAGAGGTGGAACTCGAATGTGAAATGTCAAGGACATCTCGACTCCAAAAATTGGAGCCACGTAACCCAACTCACAGTCGCGGTGCCGCAAATTGAAGCACGGAAACCAACTCACCTCCACACATTGAAGCCATGTCCAGGCCAGGGTAGATCTCGGACGTGCATTTCGAGCATGGCATCGTCTTCGCCGTGAAAAGACGAAACTTTTCATATATACTAAAAAATTTTCGATTTTGGGCTGCAAAAAAAATAAACCACGAGCGTATTGCGTTAGCGTATAGCGTTTTGCGTGTATACGCAAGCGTATAAACGCTATACGCTTAAAGGCAAAAGCGTGTTTCACCACTAAGTTTCACCCTTCCCCCCTTCACCTATGCTCCTCTCATCCTTCACCCGTTGCCCCCTCCCACTTTCACCCCTTCTCCTCTCATCCTTCACCCGTTGGCCCCTCCCACTTTCACCCCTTCTCCTCTCATCTTTCACCCGTTGGCCCCTCCCACTTTCACCCCTTCTCCTCTCATCCTTCACCCGTTGACCCTTCCCACTTTCATCCATTCTCCTCTCATCCTTCACCCGTTGACCCCTCCCACTTTCATCCATTCTCCTCTCGCCCTTCGCCTCACCCCTTCACCCGTCACCCATCACACGCACATCCAGTGAGCAGACGCGGGAATCCTTACAGAGGAAGACACGGAGATCCACAACTTCTCACCCATCCCCATTCCCCCCTCCACACGGACTCACTCCATCACCCCTTCACCCCTGCACTTCTCACTCCTTCACCCCTTCACCCTCGTTACGCAAGTCCAGTGAGCAGACGCGGGACTCCTTGCGAAGGAAGACGCGCAGATCGACAGCCTTGGCCGGGCGGGCGACATCAATGAGTGCGTAGCACAGTGCGTTACACTTGACCTGGTAGCTTGAAAGTAGGGGGGTGAAACAGGATGCGGAATATGAAGGCAGTGAAGGGAGAACAAAGCGATTTAAAGTGGAAGGAGTTGAAACTTGAATTGAGCTAAGGTAGAAGTTGAGCTCGTAGGGACAGAGAAAATGGCCGGATTGGAAAAAAACGATAATGATAAACGTATTAGGAAAATTGGAAGTCGGACATTACTTAAGCACACCTTAGTGAGGATAACACCCGAACTGTCAGGGCGAGGCACACAGATCAACTTGTATGTCATGTCCGCCTGGATGTCTCTAATCTGTGTTTAACAAGTGGTGAACAGAAGGAGAGCATGAACCTGAGTGAATTGGCAGAGTGAGGAAAGGACAGAGAGCATGCCCTTTCCGTGAGGAAAGAGAATGCAGCGTAAGATAGGGGAAAGGAGAGGAGAGAGACAGCTGCTGACGCATGTTGGACATTGTAAAGTGATAGGAGGAAAGAGGAGTAAGGAAGATTGAATCCAGTGTGTATATATGGACTCCCTCCTCCTCCTAACAGTGCACACCACACAGCACCGCATTGAAAACACAGCCTTAGCTTATGCAAGCCCATGCTACAATAGTAGGCGCACATTGCCCCAAATTGTGCATTCAAAGCAACCCACTAACGCACGTACCAAAGTTCTGCTGACATGCTGACTCGTCAAAGCACACTCCACCAAGACATGCTATCACACCCATGCTTCTAAGTCAGGCCCACGAATGACTTCCGGTAGAGTAAAATATCCATCTCACGTCACCATAGACTTCAACATCGGTCTTAAACCCCAGTTTCGTATTCATAAAGCCCCATATACGTACCCGCAGGTGGTAGCGAGTCTTGGTGCGCGGCCTGCTGCTCCCTTCCTCCAGTGCAACACCCTCCACCCATTTGAACACCTCTTCTGGAAACTCTCTGTCATACAAGCGGGTCACCGGCACCGGAAAGTGCCGAACCTGCCTGTCCATATGCATCTCAAACTCCCCTGCTGTGAATGGCGGTAGGCTGGGGAGGAGTGTCCTGTTGAAAGAGGAATACTCGCAAAAGGAGTGATAATGATTGTCTTGTGTGAAGGCCCAGCAGTTAGGTAGATAAGTGCATGCGACAGGTAGAAGCGAGACTAATAATTGGGCCAAGCATATTTGTTGACGGCTGCAGGCCTGGGCAAATAACTATGGAGCTGAGCCACTAATTTTTAGGTCACCACTGGGGTTGTACGTTCAGTTCTGCTGGAACCAGAAAGCTTTCAGCATCACACACACTGCCTTATCTCACAAACGCTGTCCTGTCACACTTACGTACGTACGCTGGACAATCCCAAGGTGGTTTGAGGAGCAGCTTCGCGAGAATCACCGTCAGCTTGCACCGATCCACCACCCATGGCGCTCCAGTCACAGGCTGATACCAAGGTGGCCCTGGCTTCTCGAATTCCGCAACACCCACACACGCACACACACTGTCGTATCTCATGCCTCGCACGAAGTCACCCTGGGCAATCCCAAGGCGGTTTGAAGAGCGGCTTTGCAAGAGTCACCGTCAGCTTGCACCGATCCACCACCCGACTGAGGGGTGCTCCACTCACAGGCTGATACCAAGGTGGTTCTGGCTTCTCGAATTCCGCAACACCCACACACGCACACACACTGTCGTATCTCACACAAAATCTCATGCCTCGCATGAAGTCACCCTGGGCAATCCCAAGGCGGTTTGAAGAGCGGCTTTGCAAGAGTCACCGTCAGCTTGCACCGATCCACCACCCGACAGAGGGGTGCTCCTGTCACAGGCTGATAGCAAGGTGGTCCTAGCTTCTCGAATTCCGCAACACCCACACATGCACACACACTGTCGTATCTCATGCCTCGCACGAAGTCACCCTGGGCAATCCCAAGGCGGTTTGAAGAGCGGCTTTGCAAGAGTCACCGTCAGCTTGCACCGATCCACCACCCGACTAAGGGGTGCTCCAGTCACAGGCTGATACCAAGGTGGTCCTAGCTTCTCGAATTCCGCAACACCCACACACGCACACACACTGTCGTATCTCACACAAAATCTCATGCCTCGCACGGAGTCACCCTGGGCAATCCCAAGGCGGTTTGAAGAGCGGCTTTGCAAGAGTCACCGTCAGCTTGCACCGATCCCACCACCCGACTGAGGGGTGCTCCTGTCATAAGCTGTCGTATCTCACACACATCTACCAGTCACTCACACGCACGTACTCTAGGAAATCCCAAGGCGGTTTGAAGAGCAACTTTGCGAGAGTCACTGTCAGCTTGCATCAATCTGTTGTGTGATGCTATCATTCGCATTCACGTCTGTCTGCCTCCCATCATATGTTCATGCGTTGCATGCGTGGTGTGAACGTGTGCAAGAATTTGTGTTTGGTGTGGTTTGGATTTTCTGAGTATGTGTGAATGTTATTTGGTCTGAGCAGATATTTGAAGTGACTGCTCTGCTCAAGAGCTTTCCGGCGAACCAAGAATCGTCGCGATCGGAGCACGAACGAGAAAGTTGCGAACATTTGAAGTTCGTATGCTTTTGATATTTGGTTGTGGCGACTATGGGAAGTTGTGGGGTTGACTCAATATGGGGTACAGACTTTTGGGGTTGGGAAATTCGTCCCCATTACTGTAGATGTTGCCAAATGGTTGGGAGAAGCCAAACCAGGTTGGCAAGTGTGGCCAAGTTGGGTGAGGTGGATGGCATGGGTTGGGAAAGTGACAAATGTCAAAGTTGGGGTGCCTATAGAGAGGGGAATTGTATGGTATGGGGTTTCCTTGGTTGGGGACTCCTTGGGGACCTTCCCTCTCGTCCTTCTCTTCCCTCCTACCTGGTTTGTAGCTACTCTAATCCTCTTTGTGCAACTTGAGAACTTGTGAGAACAATTGTGGTTGAGTTAAGTTTCTATGGCAGCTTACCCCCTAGTGCGTCGAAATTCATAACTCGAGTTATACTCCATCTTTGGATGCGATTCAAATTGGGAATGACAGCCACGGTCAAGAGCTACAACATACTCGAGTTTAAGAGAATTCCAACAATTAGTTTGTTGGCGACGGCGTTTCTTGTGAAGTCGACTTTTCTGTCCAGAAATTGAGACCAACGATTTTGAGATATTTCGGCCCCTAAATGTTCTAGACTCCGTCCTTAGTCTCTAACAAGTGGTATCAGAGCTGATTGAGGACGTTGTGAAGAGTCTACTGAGGTGTGAAGACCCTCCTAGACCCACCATGGCCTGTGGGCGTGCCTAAGTGGTGTTCTAGAGGTTGCATGTGACTTCCGCTAAGGGGAAACTCTGCCGAAATTTCGTTGGCGCCGACACTTGTGAAAATATTGTGGGACTTCGGTGTGGACAGCAAAAGGGGGAGCTGAAACCTCTGATTGGGAGCAGAGGAGATGAGTCAAGGGAGTGGAGATGCAGCTGAAAAGAGGAGTGAGCCGCCACCATCCAAGATTGAGGCGTTGGATGGCTCCAACTACGAGGAATGGAGTGGGCGGATGAGGAGCGTCTTCAAGCGCTACAAGCTGCTGAAACTTGCGATGGGAGAAGAGAAAATGCCCGAGGAAGGAGATGCTCGGGATCGGTGGATTGAGCGGAGCGCGGTGTTGTTCGACCTCATCTTGCAATCGGTCAACAACGACATGTTCCAGCACATCAAGGACTTGGTCGAGTTGGACGACTCCG